ATATAAGTCAATCAATGGGATCCCTTCTACTGAAGATCACTAGAATTGGGGGTTCCTGAAAGCAAAGTTGACATATCTAGATTCGTCACCGGTGTGCAAACCAGGATGGTCAGAAAGTCATCTAGCAAGTGAGAAAATGAATGTAGTGGTTTGTGCACATGTAAACAATATCATAAATGCATAATTACTATAAGCATAGAAAGACTATATAATTGTATCACTTTACTTTTAGTCATGAATAAGAAAACATGCATTTAAAAATCCAAATCATAAAGTAAATTTAGCAGAAAACTATATATATAACAATAACAAAGATCACGGAATGAGAGTGCACCTAGATCTTTGGGTGTGACACAAATGTAGTGTGTGCGTTTAACTATTCTCAGATTTTACTTAATCTTTTTGGGAAAGCTCTCATGAGATAATGTTTTTTGGTATACCCACTGAGAACGTTATTTATGTTCTTACTTTACTTAGTTTATGTGCTCCTCATTGGACATAGTTTCGCAAAGAAAGCTGGGGGTGGATAATTCATATAATGGAAAGTTCTCGAAAGAACATTACATGTAATATTCTTAGGGATAACCCGGTCATTACAAACAAAGTGATAAATACTAAACCCCCACTGTTAAAGTCCTGACATAGCACTAGAAATTTTAATTCGAACGGTCTATTGCGATTGTCAAATCCCCTTCGTGTCAAAATCTCATCATTTGACATCAAAAACCCCCCACTGAGTGATTCGTACGAGTCAACACTCCCACTGTGATTTATACTTTCACTCTCACTTGGTCAAACATTTAAATAGTTAGAACCACAATCAAAATCTCCTCTCGATTCTTTTCATGAACGAGAGGTCCACAAATTGAATGATTAAACCTTTAAATAGTTAAGATCATTCAAACCCCTCATTTGATCAAACCTTCCTACATGTAGGGCCAAAACCAAAATCTCATCTCGATTCTTTCCATGAACGAGAGATCAACTTTCAAATCGAGTGATCAAACTTTCCTACAGTAAGGGTCACCTCAAACTCCTACTTGGTCAAACCTTCCTACAATCAGCACAAAACCACAATTCACTCTCGATAAATGAGAAATTCACCTTTAGTTCGGTAATCAAACCTTCCGACAGTTAGGATTATCCGAATCTTTTCGATTCTCGGAGTGTAGATCCTACTTTAAGTTTTCTTTGTAACTAGAGATAGAATATATAATTCTTCCTCTCTAGCATCAGGTTCGTCTTTGCTCCAAGAGAAGACACTACTTTTTAACTCCCAAAATCTGTGCCTCACACGTACGGGGAAGTTTATTCTGAATCCTAAGAAGGGATAAGCCAATGCCTAGCACGCGTTATTGGTTTAGTCTTTCACCGATTGAAGAAGACACCATAATCCAAGTCTGAGGATTTTTATCCCAAAGCCTAAGTAGGGATAAGACAGCGCCTAACAAGCGTTGTCGGGTAGTCTATTCCCATGAGAAAGACGAAGTCTACGTATTCAATCTCGTAGCACTAAAAGAGTTAACTCTTTTAACACAACGTTACATGCAGAACGGATTTAAACAATCTGCATGCTAACTGGACTCAAACGTAGTCGGTAAAGGCTTATCAAACCCGTTGATGGCTGAGGGTTTACCAAAAATCCTATAAATACAAGAGTTATTGATGCACCAGCTTTATTTGTTGGTCTCGTGACTTGAACATCCAACAAACTTTAGGATAAGATCCTTACCTGCAGACAAAACAACTTTAATAGTTGGTCCTGCAGCCCGACATTTTGGACCGTCACACTCTAATGCCTTAAGAGCCTAAACTGTGTAGACTCCAATCAATGCCGATCAACGCATTTTGATGAGAGTTAGTCTCAAGTCAACTCCGATCAACGGGTTGCGATGATAGTCAACACATAGCTCCATGTCAACGCCGGTCAACGCGTTATGATGAAAGTCAACGCCGGTCAACGCGTTGTAATGAGAGTCAACACATAGCCATAAGTCAGCGCCGGTCAGCACGTAGCCTCCGGTCAACACGTTACAATGATAGTCAACGTGTAGCCTCCGGTCAACACCGATCAATGTGCTATGATGAAAGTTAACGTCGGTCAACGCGTTACAATGATAGCCAACGCGTAGCCTCCGGTCAACGCATGGCGATGACGGTCAACGTGTAGCCTCCAATCAACTCCAAAGTTCAGATATGAATTTCCAATGAAGATAGTCAGTTCAAAGTCAACTCAATGACACGAGCTAAAACAAACTCATTAGTTTTGATTTGAGACTTCGACAACGGCCAGACGATAAATGCAGTGCTGGAAAAATTTTAGGTATTCAACAAAGCACTGAATAAACTAAAAATTAAAGAAGTCAAGAGTAGAAGCCAATTACAGATCCTTTTACACTGACTAAAGGTTGGGTCTATCACATCCAAAGTATTTCGGCCTCCTCTATAAAAGAAACGAGACCGAAATACTTTGAAGGAGGTATCTGTAGGCATCAAAAATTACCCACAGATTCTCACACATGGCTCGAGATAGAGAGAAGATGATGAACATCACTATCCGAGTCATAGAAGCTTTTTTGACGTCGACAAGCATATGAAGTGAGTCGAGGAACCGTATGAAGCAACGAAACTGCAAAATAACGAAAATACGAACTGGTCGGGAGTTACGCTTCACTTATGAAATACGAAGCATCCCTCGTGTCTCGTCCACTCCATGTATGATTCAACTATGGGAGCTTGTAGATCTCTTTGTCGGCTTTCCTACGTACTTTGAATCGCGTAATTTCGAGTTTGGACGACAAAGATACAGCGATTCTGACTGGGGCGCACCTGAACAGTTCCCAGGCCTTGGCGGAGACACTGCGAGTGTCTCGGCTAAGGCCGAGACACCCCAAGTGTCTCGGCCATGGCCGAGACACTGCGGGTGTCCGCAGGCCTAAAAACGTTGTTTTGAGCCATTTTCGACCGTTAACCGTCCGGATTTATTTTAACTGATCTAATATTATCCTAGAACATGATAAAGTGGTTGTAACTAAGGATAAGAGTGAATCGGCTGTTCTTATCTAAAAACAGAGCTCCCGAAGCATATAAATACAGCCATAGGGTCTTCATTTTCAGATCTGAAATTCTCAAGCCTTGGCGAAGCCCTGCTGAATTGGAGACTGAAGAGCCATGAATTTTAGAGAGGACGAGGAGATCTCAGTGAATTCTTCAGCATAGAGAAGGAAAGTTCGACAGATCTGTAACCCAGTTCTTCCCTTGAGATTGCACTATTGCTGTGATATCGAGAAGAGTGGTTATCTCGCTGTTATCGAGATAATTACTTTGGTTTCTTGATTCCTTCACGAGTCAACGAAATCTGAACTTTGATCTGATCTGAGGTGGTCCACGGATAAACCCTGACACATGCAAAAATCTCACGCAAACAGCGGGTAATAAACGTCTGTTGTGTTTATTTTGACGAGAGTTATAATTTTTTTTCGTTTTTATTGTGTAAGAGTCTTATAAAAAGACTATCTTTTTGTTTTCATTGTAACGATTGAAGTTGTAATAAATACCTAAGATGTCAACTTTCACACCAAACAAGATCCACTACTAGATCTGCTCCCCTTTCATCTTGAATTTTATGAGACTTAGAATCCATTAGTTATAGGTAGTGAAAAAATAGCAAGCAATGACTCCTTACATTTCGATCCCACAATTTAACAAGCTGGCGATTCCTGATTCTGAGAAGGGACAACCTTTTGCCTTAACGTCTATATCATCTGTTGAAGCTCTAACATCACTAGTACGTAGAGGTTCCTTCACTCTCCTTCTTAGGAACCCTGACATTCTTTCGAGAGGATCGGGGAGTCGCCTCCACGCGCATCTATCTGCAAAATTTACTCCCCTCTGTTTCATACCCGTGCACGTGTAAAGATTATTTATAGACCTCCCTTTTCTCACCTTCCAGCATATTTTCGTGTAGCTGTGGTGTCCTTAATTTTTAGTCAACGACTTATACGTATTTTGGCTCATATCTTTAGACTATAGGGGCTGTTTGGTTCGCTATTATAAGGGGTGGAAAACTTAGAAAACCCCTCCACGTCAGATTTTTAGCCCTCCACATCAGCTTTTTTGTTTCCGTCCATTTCTTTGTGCCGCTTTGGTTCGCTCGAATGGAAGAGGGAAACCTCTGCTGAAATCGCCGCCAACTAAGATTTTTTTCCCTCTCCGATTTCCTTCCCCAACCAAGTGAAATTGATGAAAACTCTGCCACGTCAGATTTTTTCCTTCTCTGCTTTGTTTACAAAAGTTTTCCTTTTTTTTCTATGCGAACCAAACACAAGAAAAATAAATACATTGGTTTCCCATCATTTTTTATGTGTAACCAAAGCAAAACAATCTATTTCTTGGAAAAGTTTGGAAAACTCAAAACTTGTGTTTCTTTACATGGAATTGCATTTCTCTATATCAAGGAAACGAACCAAACAGCCCCATATAAACATTGAGACAAACTCCCACTTTGGGCCTCAAAAACACGGTCAGTTATTTTCTTTCTATTTTAGGCAGTGTTTGACCGTCCAATCTGGAGGGGTAAACAGATTCCGTTCTAGTTTTTACTGTTTTTCTACTTTTAGTTAAAAATATATTATTTTATCTTTTTCCTTTTATTTTTGTTTTGTCGATAAAACACTCTTTTCTGGGATGCGGAGGGGAGCATTTTGAAGAATAAAAACCTAGTTATTTGGCTGCGGCCGTTTATCTGTGTTCTCTACCTTTCTGTATTACTTGCAATTTTGATCTGGTTGGGGCCCTAACAGGAATGCATCAACACAAAACCATCTTGTTAACATTTAAGACGTGAACAAAGCTACCAACAGTCTACGAGAATGTAACTGTATCCACTAATAAACGGATATATGTTACCGTAAGTAAAGTTATTTATCAGGCAATTTCCCATATGATTTAAGGGGTTGAAAAAGGAATAAACAAACTCTTACACCAAAAATGAAATGCAGGCAATTCGAAGGGAAGCAAAAGAGTTCGGACTTGGAGAGGAGAAATACTACGTGGTGCTCATTTTCGGTGCCATCTTCTGGCAGTTTACGAACTTGGGCTTGGTGGGAGTCATCTCTTGTTCTTCCTCGCTCTTTGGTGGCATCCTTATCGCTGTTCTCCTACCGCTATTGGAGATCTTATCAGTCATATTTTTCCACGAGAATTTTGATGGAAGCAAAGGCGTCGCTCTCGCTCTCTGCTTATGGGGTTTCGTATCGTACTTGTACGGAGAGAGGAAGCAACAAAAGAAGCTAAAGAAGAAGAGGGAGGTGGAGCTTCCGTAATCGTTAGTGCCACGAAATTAGTTGTATGTGTGATATGTGTTCGGGGTTTAATTTCCAGGTAAGATTTACTATAATAATGTTACGACGTTGATACGAAGATCTCCTACTTGTACAACTGATTTGCTAAGAGGCTTGCTAAATCAGCTGATAATTTTCTTTGTGTTCTTGCCCGTGTGAAGAATCGATCCCATGTACATTTTCTTTCTTGTCTCAGGACCGCAATCAGTTAAAACATGTAATCAGATATATGTTGGTGAAAAATATAATCAATGCGTCATTAGAATAACTCTTTTTTATGTTTTTTTAACAGAAGTTTGATAAAGAAGCTTCGGTTTATCTTATATTAATTGTTCTAGCTTGAGATGTACCATAGTGTTCTATTTAGCGTCGTGTAGTTCTAGCTGGAGCTAATAGTTGGAGATGATAAATATGCGCGCCAGGATGTTTGTTTTATTCTGAGACCCAATAAGCTAATTAAAAGTTGTGATGGATGAGGCCATGATGTGACAAATTTACGCGAGCTTCGAATTGAATGGTTAACTTGCGGGATTTGAACAACTTTGCAATTCTTCCCAGCTTAATCTTTAAAGAATAGAACTGGTCCGTATAAGATGGGGCTTCCTCTTTGCATCACGAGCTCAATGCTAAGGTTGGCAAGGGGATTCATACCCGGTCTCTTCTTCTGAATAAGAACGAGTAACGTTTGGATCCCAACAAACAACGTACGGGTCTACCTCTTTCAGTACATTCCATATATTATAAAGGCAAAGAGACGCACGACCTAAAGCTATCCCACGAACAAGCTCTAAAGTGCACGAGGCTACAACGCTAAATAAGTTTTTTGTGGCAATTCTTTAAACATCACTAAAACCCGCAGAGGATGAAAAGTGGAAGAATTAATTGTTTAATTTCAGATCTATGAATGAAGATCTATGTTAATTATCACGTACGTGTTTTACAATGTTACTGGTAACGGTGGCAATCTTAATTAGTGCATCTTAATCATAAAAATTGTCAAAAGACCTCTGCTATCGAAGCTATAATTTATACTCTAATATGTCCCCCCAAGTTAAACTCACTTTTACGAGCCCACACCTAGACTTACATAGCGGTATTATTTATTTTAAAAGCCGCTTCAAATTTGTGACCTACAGAAATTGAACCTGTGTTGCTCTGATACCTAGGCTCCTCCCGCTACACCAAAACACCAAAGTTGTGAAAGGGATTAAGGGCATATTCCTATACTGTTGAGCGCTGCGGAAGCCAAACAACCAAACCAACGTGCTACGAGAAATCAAATCAAACGAACGTCGAGAGAAGGCCAAACGAACCAAATCAATATCACAAACACAAAAAACCAATTTTAACGTGGTTCGGCAAGTTGCCTACGTCCACAGGGCAAGAAGGAGATAGGGTTTTTCACTAATAGAGAAGAAGAATACAAACTGAGATTACAAATCACTCAAACTCACCAATTAATCTCACCAACAAATCTCTAATTCTCTCCAAACAAAACCCTAACCAATAGCTTAGAAAATACCTCTTTTCTGTGCTCCAAATATCCCCAACTTTCTTCTTAATTCTCTCTTCCAATTGTTCCATATATATAGAAATCATAAAATTATAAACATACTAGGAATTCTAAAACAAAAAATAAAACAGATTAGGAATCCTAATAATCATGTTACCAAAATAGATTAGGAATCTCAATAACCTGTTACCAAAACAAATTAGGAAACATATTAGGAACCTGCTATCCAACAATTCTCCACCTCGACGAAGTTTTTCCAAAACTGAGCCGATACTAATACCAACCAAACGTATCACTTGTTGCGTCTAGTACGAAATGGGACAAATCCACGACAACGGACTCAATTCATAACAAGTTGAGAACCCAAACGAGAATACGAACAAACTCCAAATATCGGTATCAACTCACCAAACCGGCTGCATCATAAATGACTGCCTACGTATCCTCTTGCCCAAGGAATCAAGCATTCACGTAGTTCACCCAAACGGCCTCCAAAGGCCCTCAATCAAATAGAAAAGTTTACAACTCTTCACCAATATTACCAACGGATCTGCAACTGATAGCGCTCCCAATGGCCCCAAACTGAAACAAATCAAACACCTCCACCTGAGGTGAACCAATGGCCGTATCCAAAACATGTCCACCAGCTGCATTCGAATCCAAAACCAACTCATCATCTGCAACCAAATCCAAATGATCTCCAAATTGTGTCACCTCAGCTAGAATCCAAAATGATGCAGTATGATCTGGAGTATGTGGAGTAATCTCCACCCAATGTGAAATAGCATCACCCTCCACCCTCTGTGATATCCCAATGATCTGATCAACACTCTCCACCCGCCGAGAGTCAAATGTGACATACCTGCTCAGATCAAAATCAGAAGCTCCTAACCGATAATCAAACGAACCTTTGAATCCCAAACGTGCAATCAGATCAAATCTCACATACTCGATGTGACCAAATGTTGGGAAACCAAATATCCGACGCAACCTAAAATCTGAAGCAGCTCCACCAGATCCAAAATCTTCACACGCAGCAGTTGGCAACCTATGACCAAGATGACCCAAATATGTCGAAGCTCCAAAACCAAAACCAATGCTCGACAACCAACGCTGATCCCCTCCAGTAAGGAACGACCCATCAAAACTATCATCTCATCTCGTCGCTCCAATGTCTCCATATCAATAAAGTATCTCAAACTGCCATGAGCTCAGCACAAATGCAAGAAAGAATCCCTACCAAAGTTAGAACGATGGGTTACCTTTCTGCCAATACATTTCTTCCAATTGTTTTTGACTTCTAGGACTTCACACCAAAGGAACCTGGTTGCAACCCACCAATGCCTAGAACAATCCCCAATTGTAAAAACCAAATACCGATTACCTTCTAATGATGCCTCCTTGGAAGGCCTCCAAATGCCTGACTGAACACCACCTAAAAGACCCATCGATCGATGGATAGAAGTGCCCAACTCCACACCAGTCTTCTTGCTCATACTAATGTGCTCAAAGAACTTTAATCTGCAGGTTAAAGCACTCATCAACAAACTATGCACAGCATAACCAATTAAATAACTCAGCCTTAACAAATGCCACAGTCTAGCCAAATCCAAAGAAGTCTTCAGCTCTCTATCAAACACTGTGCTCCTAATCAAGTAATACAAATTATTCCTCCTGACGCCCTTTATCACAATCATGGACCCCAATATGATCTTCAAACGTGAATCGACCAAGGTCACCCTATAGCCTGCTGCCTTCAAAACTCCAAGTGAAATAATGTTCTTCTTCAACTGAGGAACGAACCTCACTCCAACCAACTCCCGAATCACTCTGTCACTCATCCTAATCCGAACGGTATTGATACCACCAATAAGACATTCATGACCATTACCCATGAGCACGACCTCCCCTCTTTCTAACTCTTGAAAGCTGGAGAACCAATCCCTCCTAGGGCAAATATGGTAAGAAGCACCCGAATCCAACATCCACTCTATAGAGTTGGCAACACAAACTGACGGTAGTACAGATAACGAGTAGCCCGAAGAATCCGAATCTAAATTATTGCCACTAGCCTTGACAACATTCACATCTGAAGCTTGAATAGATTTTCCCTTATTCTTCTCAGCTCGATCAACCAACTTTGGGCATTTGGCTTTCCAATGTCCATCCTCTTTACAAAAGGCACATTGATTCCTACGAACTCCAAGATGTGCTCCTCTAGACTGCAACCTCCTACCATGGTTTAGACTCTTTGCTCTTGCGACCAATGCCCCCGCTATCGGCTCAACTGAAGTCTCCTTATCCTTCTTTCGAAGCTGATAATTCATAAGTGCGGCGGTGACCTCACTATAAGAAAGAGATGTCTTCCCATTAATCAGAGTAAGAACGAAGGTCTCATATTCCTCGTCAGGCAAGGAACTCAACAACAACAACATTTTGTCCTCATCTTCAATCATCACATCTACATTCGCCAAATCCGCAAGAAGCTTCGTGTAGTGGTTTATGTGATCACCAATGGAGGTCCCCTTCTTCAATTGGAAGTGATAAAGACTCCTCTTTAAATGCAAGAGGTTCTCTACACTCTTGGTCAAATACTTGCCCTTTAGGATCTCCCAAATCTTCTTAGCCGAAGTCTCATTGATCACATCATATTTTAAATCTTGAGTCAAACAAGATCTAATCACACCACACGCCGTTCTATTCATCTTTTTCCAAACCTTCTCCTCAATATCGTCCGGTTTCCCGTCCAACTCTAAAGTATCTTTTAAATTTTACGCATTGAGCACATCCAAGACTTCACATCTCCAAAGGCCAAAATTATTTGTGTCATTAAACTTCTCCACATCTATCTTCATAGAGTGGATATTCAAACTTTAGACGGTCTTCACGCTAAAAGTACCCTCCACAACTCCTTCTTTTCCGACCATCTTTCTTAAAGCACCAAAACAAATACGGAACAAATAAAGAATAGATCCAAAACTAAAAAAGATAGAGTCTTTACCAAAAAGATATCACATTATCACCAAACGAAGCCCTAAACGAGCCTCCAAAACTACCTACTCCTCCAAATAGCCCAAGCATAGCCCGAGCTCTGATACCACTTGTTGAGCATTGCGGAAGCCAAACAACCAAACCAACGTACTACGAGAAATCAAATCAAACGAACGTCGAGAGAAGGCCAAACGAACCAAATCAATGCCACAAACACAAACAACCAATTTTAACGTGGTTCGGCAAGTTGCCTACGTCCACGGGGCAAGAAGGGGATAGGGTTTTTCACTAATAGAGAAGAAGAGTACAAACTGAGATTACAAATCACTCAAACTCACCAATTAATCTCACCAACAAATCTCTAATTCTCTCCAAACAAAACCCTAACCAATAGCTCAAAAAATACCTCTTTTCTGTGCTCCAAATATCCCTAATTTTCTTCTCAATTCTCTCTTCTAATTGTTCTATTTATATAGAAATCCTAAAATCATAAACATACTAGGAATTCTAAAACAAAAAACAAAACAGATTAGGAATCCTAATAATCATGTTACCAAAATAGATTAGGAATCTCAATAACCTGTTACCAAAATAAATTAGGAAACATATTAGGAACATGCTATCCAACATATACGATCACTGAAACTCTGCTGATCAAATTACACAAATGCTGAAATATCAATAATGGTGAATCGTAAAAACCAAGATAAAAGTAGATCTTCTCACCATCCTTGATTCTTGAGGTAGGCTTTGATCTAATATGATAGTTTATACTTGTACCCAGACATACTCTAAAATCAATTGAGTATAAAACAAACAAATGCTTCAAACGATAAGAAACTAACACTAGATATCGCATATGACTGCGGGCGATCCACAGGGAGTGAAAAGAGTTCGGGCTTGGGAGTGGTGAATGCTACAGTGTCGTCATGTGTGATGCTATTATGTGGCAATTAGGTCATTTAGGGCTTGTTTGGTGTCAAACCTTGTTCTTCGTTACTCCTCGGAAGGCATCATTATTTGGGTACTCCTTCAAGTATCAGAGATCTCAGGAGTCATCTTCTTCCAGGAGAAGTTCATGGAAGCATGGGAGTGGCCCTTGTGAATTGCCTCTGGGAATTTTTCATGGCATTTGTATGGAGAGAGGAAGAAGATCAAGAAACAGAAGAAAACGAAGATGGGCAAGGTGGCGGGTACACCTTCAGTCCCTTGAAAGCGTTTAGTTTAATTAAAGGTGCATTCTTATAACTCGCGTGCAATAAACTTGTATGCCCCTGCCTCCCACCCCCTGCTTTTAGAGATAGGGTTTGCAAACATGCCCACATAGTAAAATGACTCCATTTACGTTTCAAATTAGTATTTCCACTGTCAATGATTTGGAGCTCCTAATGTACTTCTCAGGACATGTAAGATGTAGAAAACACAAACAAGTACGCGCGTGAGAACGCTCCATAGATGCAAACCAGAACAAGGGAAAGTAAACTGGTCCAAACATCTGTCCTCCCCATCATCAAAAAGAGTAGGCCGACAATCAGGATCAAGTGATGCATCGTTTGCCAAAAGTGAATACGGTCATTAAAAGGACTGCAGCATATAAAAACAAATTTGAGAGCAATTTCACGCCCAGTATTACACAGATTTGATTTTCAGGACTTCACCAATTTTACGAGTATGAGAGAAGGATCATCAACTCATACAAAGAAGAATGTTTCCATCATCAACATCACTCACATAACATAATGCACAATTAGGTAACCAAGCAAGTGAATAATGAGACTTAAGGAAACAGCAGCAGCAGCAGCAGCGAATTCACATGCCACACCAATTCTAAGGTTGCAAGTCGAGAGCACCAGGCAAGACTTCCTGTAGGCTCTTCACGGCACTGTCGTAGTTCACAAAACCCATGAACCAGAACTCATGGTTGTCAACAGACACAATCTGGATATATTTTTCTGCTGGGTTTACTTTGCTTGTTGAAGGATTGACTGATCTTAGCTGATGCAGAGGAATGACCACCTATTATTTCAAACCAGCAAAAAGAAAGAGTTAAAATTAAAGTGAAAAAGATGTTTCAAGCAAGAAGGAAGGCAAGTAACCAAGTCTTTAGTGCTGAGAATTCAAGCGAGGAAGCAATATCAAAATTAGCCAAAGAACATATAGTATGACATATGTCGATTCTTACATCAGAAAATGGGCAAATACCGAAGATTCTTATGTATTTGTGTCATATTATGATGATAGGGTCAAGTTGGAGAGTTGCCGCCTTGGAACAGTTTGAATATGATTTATGGTTTAACAATAGAATATAACAGCACAAACTAACAAAAAGAAAACTCTAAAGGAAAAAAACAGTACTCAACATGTTTCCCTTGTTCAAGTGAAATTCCAATGCTGATTTTGAAAATAATGAGTTCATGCTGATTTTGAAATTCTCTACTTCAAATGAATAGTGCACAGAAAAGAAAATGAATGTTACACTTTCAGTAACTCCTGATTTGGACATTAACTCTCATAGTTCACTTGCTTCTAACTATCAGATTACTGGAAAGAGAAGTAATGTGGGCAGAGAACAAAGCAGAATTTTGCTTTCTGAAAGAAGATATGAAACAAGGTCACATATCATTCATATAACAGGCATGTATTAAAAGTCCAAAGTTAAAAACCGATCTTAACAAAATAAAAGAAAAAGCAAATCCACTTGAGGAATAATCTATACAAAATAAAGCAAATATAGGCATGCTTGCTGGATATGTATCAAATAATTCATTTAAAATTTTGGTTTTACCATGCATCTCACAGAGCTATGGCCCTAGATTCAATGGAGGTAGAGATTCCATAGTTGAGAAAAATTCTAAAGGCCAAATTTTATTGTTTTATATACCGATGTGTTTGTTAAGGATTGCACTATCTCCAACAGTGACCTTTCAAAAAACACGCACCAGAAATTCCAAAAAAACAATTCTAGTTTAACATGAACTTTACATTAGTAATTTATCGCCTTCTTATGAGGCACTAGGCGGGGACTCTAAAGAGAACAATGAAGAACAAACTAAATAAGAAAGCCTTCAAATGACAAAGAGGCATCCACTGCAGAAGAGCCATAAAAAGATGTAGCTTTCAGAAAGAACCAAACACTCTTCTACTGTCATCCCACTGATTACAGGTAACAATTGGCCAGATTTTAACCATGCATTTGTTAATAGCAATCATGCTTTACTGTTTGCACTGAACGGCCTTGCTGAGACAATCAAATTTTGAGAGCTATGAGCTCCTTGTACCGAGATCCTCCAAAGAAAAATGAACTTGCAGTACCAGACATCCACCACTGTCATCAAAGTACCAAAAAAATCACCTTCACTTTGGTCAAAATTCAAGTGCATTTCTTTCTTGGCAAACTGACAATACGTTGATCTTGCAGTACCAGATATCCACCATTGTCATCAAAGTACCAGCAAAATCACCTTCACTTTGGTCAAAATCAAACATCTGCTACTACCTGAGTTGCAGCAATAATTGATGATCATCCTGCCAGCCAGTCTATTGCAATTATTAAGACAATTGCACAGTCTCACCAGTGTAGTGTACCCCATTGGCAGAAAGTAAACCACCTCTCCTACCAGCATCACTATAACACTGCCCATGTTCTCCTCTCAACTTCTTGGAAATTTGATTCAATCATTAACATAGGCAGACACTTAAAGTGTTAAAAGTACATTGGGTGTACCAAATTGATAAAAGGGGTAAACTTTAGGGTACCAAAGTGAATATATACCGTTTTTCATTTCCACACAACGTGAATACAATTTCATCATATATGATAGGCTTGTGTCACTCCAGCAAGTCTTCACCTAATTTACGGATGTAATAAGGCTTTTAG